GTGCTTGGGCTATCATCTGCTGCCACCTAACTGTATTATCAGCATGCTGGATTAGAAGTGGAGTAGCTGGGACTTGAACCAGCACTCTGATGTGGGATGCAGGCATTCCAAGTGGCAGCCTAACCTGCTGTGCCACAACACCCACCCCTGGGGTATTGGATTTTGTTAAATTTCTGTGTGCACCTATTGATATGATCATGTGAATTTTCTTATTTAGCTTGTTGCACTAATTTATTTTTTTTGAATGTTGAATCAGCCTTTCTTACCTGGGATAAATTCTCTTAGTTGTGGTGTATAATTCCTTTTGTACATTGTTAGATTTTTTTTTTTTTTGCTGATACGTTTTGAGTATTTTTGTATGTATATTCAAAGAGATATTAGCCTTTAGTTTTCTTTTCTTATAATGTCTTTAGTTTTGATACAGATAGAATGGTTTCATAGAATGAGCTAGGAAATATTCCCTCTGCTTCTAGTTTCTGGAAGAGTGGACTGTAGAGAATTAGCACAATTTCTTTCTTACATGTTTGGTAAAATTCACCAGTGAAAGCATTTTGGCCTAGTGCTTTCTGTTTTAGAAGATTATTTACTATTGACTGAGGATACTTTAATAGAGATGGGACTAATCAGATCGTCTACTTACTGCTGAGTGAGTTTTCACTGACTGGTTTTCAGGGAATCAGTTCATTCTATCTAGTTATCAAATCTGTGGACTTAGTGTTACCTGTACTTCATTACTACACTTTCAATGTCCGTGACATCTGTATTCATGCTTCCTCTTCCATTTCTTTTTTTTTAAACTTTTATTTAGTAAATATAAACTTCCAAAGTACAGTTTATGGATTACAATGGCTTTCCCCCCCCATTAACTTCCCTCTCACCCGCACCCCTCCCATCTCCTGCTCCCTCTCCCATTCTATCCACATCAAGATTCATTTTCAATTCTCTTTATATACAGAAGATCGATTTAGTATATATTAAGTAAAGATTTCATCAGTTTGCACCCACACAGAACATAAAGTGTGAAGTACTGTTTGAGTACTAGTTATAGCATCAATTCACATTGGACAACACACTAAGGACAGAGATCCGACACGAGGAGTAAGTACACAGTGACTCCTGTTGTTGACTTAACAATTTGACACTCTTGTTTATGGTGTCAGTAGTCTCCCTAGGCTCTAGTCATGAGTTGCCAAGGCTATGGAAGCCTCTTGAGTTCACTGACTTCAATCTTATTTAGACAAACCAGTAATTTGTGATTCTCTCTTTTCCCCTTAGCCTTGCTAAGGGATTAGTGATTTTATCAATATTATCAAATACAACTTTTGGTTTTGCTAATTTTCTGCATTGTCTTCCTGTTTTTAATTTCTTTTTTTTCTGTTTTTAATTTCAACTCTGATTTTTAAAAATTCCTTTCTTTTGTTTACTTTAGATTTAATTTGTTCTTCTTTCTCTAGTTTCCTAAAGTTGAATCTTATATTATTATTATTATTATTATTATTTTTTTTTTTTTTTACAGGCAGAGTGGACAGTGAGAGAGAGAGACAGAGAGAAAGGTCTTCCTTTGCCGTTGGTTCACCCTCCAATGGCCGCCGCGGCCAGCGCGCTGCGGCCGGCGCACCGCGCTGATCGATGGCAGGAGCCAGGAGCCAGGTGCTTTTCCTGGTCTCCCATGGGGTGCAGGGCCCAAGCACCTGGGCCATCCTCCACTGCACTCCCTGGCCACAGCAGAGGGCTGGCCTGGAAGAGGGGCAACCGGGACAGAATCCGGCGCCCCGACCGGGACTAGAACCCGGTGTGCCGGCGCCGCTAGGCGGAGGATTAGCCTAGTGAGCTGCGGCGCCGGCTTGAATCTTATATTATTAATTTTAGATTTCCTTTTCTAATATGTACATTCAGTGCATATAGGTCTCCCACATGGGTGGCAGGAATCCAATTAGTTGAGTCATCACCATTGTCTCCCAGAGCCTTCATTAGCAAGAGGCTGGAGCCAGGTATCAAACCCAGATTCTGGATATTGAATGCAGATGTCTTAACTACTAGGCTAACTGATTATTCCCTGCCTTTCATAGTTTTAATTGAGCATTTTATACCATTCCATTTTCTTTCCTTTCTCAGCACGTCAATTTTCCTTCTTTTCTCACATGTTTTTGTGGAGCAGCTGGGACTCAAACCGGCCCCCATATGGGATGCCTGTGCTGCAGTCCAGGGCTTTAATCTGTTCTGCCACGAGGCTGGCCCTGCAACTCTGTTCTTTACAGAAATAGTTTAGTGACCCAACTCAGCAAAGGTCAAGAAAGAGAACTAAAAGATGTTAAGTGCAACTGGCTGTAGATTACTGGTGATCTTGCTAACAGTATATTGGGGTGGTAAAAGTAGAAAGTAGATCCTGGTGCCAAGAAGATCAAAGATTTATTTCTGGTTCTATAACTTGCGAGCTCTGTGGTCTTGGGAAATCACTCAACTTCTGTGAGCCTCTATTTCCTCAGCTGTGAACTGGGGACTAACAGAGCTACCTTCTTCAGTTATTGTAGGAATTAGTAATACGCACATCCAGTAGAAAACAAAGTGCCTGATTGATAGTAGGTGCTCTTTATGAATGCAAGCTCTTGTTTCATTTACTTTGTTGCCACCAAAATTGCCATGCCTTTATAAGTAATGTTTTTTCACCATTAATATTTTATCTTCCATGTTTTAATGTCTTATAGGTTGAATCTTTGCTCAAATCTCACCTTTTTGGTGAGATTTCATGAGATTTACCCTGAGTACCATATCTGTGCTCTCTGTATTGGTAATCCCATTTATCCTGGTCTACTTTTCCTTTCCTCACAGAGCTTCTCACCTGTAACAATCTAGAGAATTTACTCGTTTATTTACTTATTTTATTACTCTCTGTCTACTCCACTAGACTGTCATCTTACACACTTACATACCCCAAGTGCCTACACTGAACCTGGAGCACAGCAAGTGCTCAATAATTCAGTGTTGAATGACTAAATGGAAAAAGACTGACTGTGTTTCTTCAACCTGGGGACTTGTCTTTTTTCATCTCTGTAAAATTTCCAACTGTCACCTATTAAAACATTGCCTCTGTTCCATCCCCTCCGTGCTCTCCTTCTGGAATTCCTTTTAGATTACAAGTATGTCAGTCCAATATTTATGTTCTCAGTGTCTCTTAAGTTCTTTTTCATATTTGACAACTACAAATATTTAGCTTTCTCTTTTTATTCTGAGACAATTCTTTGCCCATCATTAAGTCTCTTTTCAATTGCATCTAGTTAATTGAATTATATTTCAATGACAATGTTTTTTGTGCTGAGAATGTCTTTCTTTCTTTTTCCTTTCTGCTTCTTTTCCATTTTTTTTTCCCTGCACTTGCTTTATACTTTCTCATCTTCCTTTTATTTCTTTGAGTATTTAAAAAAAATTTTTTTGATAGGCAGATTTAGACAATGAGAGAGAGACAGACAGAAAGCTCTTCCTTTCCGTTGGTTCATCCCCCAAAATGGCCACTACGGCCGGCGCACTGCGCCGATCCAAAGCCAGGAGCCAGGTGCTTCTCCTGGTCTCCCATGCGGGTGCAGGGCCCAAGCACTTGGGCCATCCTCCACTGCACTCCCTGGCCACAGCAGAGAGCTGGACTGGAAGAGGGGCAACCGGGACAGACTCCGGCGCCCCAACTGGGACTAGAACCCGGAGTGCCGGCGCCGCTTCTTTGAGTATTTTAATGTAATTATTTCTAGTTCTTAGGGGAGAGGGAGTGAAGCCTCCTATTTGCTTCACTAATTGGTTTTCTGGTTACACTCATTTCTTTGTGCAGTCTGTAATGTTAGATTGTGAGTGGTTGTTTGCTATTTGTCTCTTCTGGGACCTTAGGAGTCAGTGACTGAATATGTTCCAAATCTGTCTCTTGAATGGCCTGTGGAGGCTAGGATGCCAGGCAGTACAGTGTGGGTGCTGGGACTGTGCCTTAAGTTCATGCCCCTACTGTGAAACTACTTGTGCAATCATTGGCAAATTACTCTTTCAGTCTTACTTTTCTTGTCTGTTAAGTAGAGCTAATCATTCCTACTTGCCAGAGACATTGTGTAGAATTAATGAGATCATCAACATAAGGAACTTAGCACAGTGTTTTTCATGTAAGTACTTAATAAATAATAAAATTACTATAAATTATGTGGTAGCTAATATGACACTTGTCAAATCTTCTCATTTGTGATTTGAGGAAGATACCTTATGTTCGTGAAAACAACTTCTGAGTGTGCATATGAAATGGGCAGCCACCATTGCACATACATATGGGTCAGCCCTATGTGCTGTATTTGTGATACATATTAGTTGCAGATGGGAGCAACAGCTGGCATAAGAACATGCTCACTTGGCTTTCAGCCAATGCTGGAGAGCACTGAGGAGAGGGAGAAGTGAATTTCAAACATCATTGTTTTTTAAAAAATAAAGTCTCATTAGGGAGTTGAGTCATTTGCCAACTATTTTGGATTATTAAATGTTGCATAGGGAGAGCTCTTCTGCTGAGAGAAGAATGACCTAGATAAATTTCTTCAGTTTTATTCAAAGAGGAAATATATTTAACTCCTCAAATATGGTCTCCTTGGCCATCATTGCCTGTCAAAGGTTGGAACTTGAATAACAGAGTACTGAACCACTAGCTACTGTTCAGTGAATGCTATTAGTTTATTTGCAGGAAGAGAAAGAGACACAGGCAAATTCTTGGGCATGAGAACCTCATTCCCATATGTTGTTATTTTTCTACCACAAACTTTTCATTAGTGAACCACTGATTTGGATCTGTGGATAAGTGAAGGTTAAGGAGCCAATGCTAGTGAAAGAGAGTTATGGACTACCGTGATTTATCATGGAGCAGGTTATCAGTTATTTATAAGGATTTCACAAAATGAAGATCATAATTCTAATTTTCATAATACATTTACCAAAGCTAAAATTAAAAACATGCAATTAGAGAAGCATTTTTAGATTTTAATTACCTGATCTTCATAATCAGATCCTGTACCAATGAACTCTCCAGAGTCCAGCATCATCGTAGAATCAAGGTCAACTGACCCTAAGGTAAGGAAAGAAAAGATCAGCTGGTGGATACTGTCTATGAATGCTTCTAAAGCACACTATCTCCCATAAGGTTTCCATATTGTCCCATGGTTACATTAAAATCACAACACTAGTAGAGTTTTCCACTCTGCCAAGCTCTATATCTGGAGACTCAAGATGAAGTTATTCTGGATACTGACTCTGCCTTTTAGAAGGAGACATATTGTAGGGAGGATTAATTTGTCAACAGCAAGGTTAAGAAACCAAAAGAGCAAGCTGCTGATTCTGACTAGTGGTGGAGAGGATAGCGTAGTTGGGATTCTTCATAAGGAACTAATCTATGAACCTGAATTTGAAGGTGAATAGGGGTTGTTGACAGGAGAAACAATTTCAAAGTGTGCAAGAGTAACTGATGTAGAAGGAACACCAGGAGCAAAGGACAGAGAGGGAGAAGAGCAAGGGGTTTCCAGGAGTCAGAAGGGCTGGATTTTGCTCACTGCACGAAAGCTTGGGAAATTTTTCTTATAGCCTTTGGTTTACACTAGTCCCTGAAGGTAAAAAAAATCAGGTTAACTAAATGTATTAATTGGGAGAATGTTTCCCTTCTAGAATACAGGTTACACTAAACTGCTTACCCATTAATCTCCAAGGCACAAGCTTAAAGTGATAATTTTCACACTGGGGCTTCTGGAGCACAATTCAGTCATCATCTTAATTTAATAAGTCTTTCTTGCTAGGAAATATATATTACTTCACTAGGCAGAAAGACAGAACCCAGTGCTGCCCACAAAAAATTCTTTATCCTATGAGACAACAAACCGCCTCACATTTTATTGTAAAATTGGCCTTGACAGCCAATTCTTGGTCAGAATATACAATGAGTAATTTTAATGAAGATGGATTTTGTAACTATCAAGCATCTCACACACTTCTCAGCTTTAGACATGCCCAGAAGATGTTGCTTTCATACTTCCAAAACAAGAATCAAAGTATGTCCTCACACACTCTTTCTCATCTTTCCCCCTCTTTTCTGTTATCATTATATCTGCTGTCTATTATATGGACTAAGCACTTGCCATTTGACTATGTACTAAACAGCAACACCATTATTTATTGTGTTTAAATCTTCAATTTTTCAAAAAAAGGATGACAAAGTTTTTCAAAATGAAGACACCTGAACCATCAAATATTTTAGAGATGTAACTATTGTAGATCTGCCTTGTATAGTTGCTTAGGTGTGTTCAGAACAACTCTGGGTGATGCCAATCTCATTGTCAGAGCAGCCTGACCAATTCCATTGTTAATATGGTGGTTGCCAGAATGGGCTTGGGAAGATCACATACCACGCCACCAGTAGAGGGAGACGAGAGGGCTGATGCGGGAAACTTCATACATATAGTAGATATATACTCAGATAAGCTCAGATAATGATTGAATAGCTTTCATTTTCTTCCACCACTGGTTGCTTGGTTTGCTGAAAATGGGACATCTGGTAATAGTTCAAGGTTTGATATATAAAATAAGGAGGCAAATATAGATATAAATAGATATTTAAGCAGTATTATATTTCATTTTTCTTTTTTGGTTATAAGAATTATTTTCTTGATGTCATTATGGATGGCTTATTTCCCTTGTTTTGCTCTGGGTCTCTACTGAGCAGGCACAGGAGGTGTAATGGGATGGTCATGCAGATGACATGAGTACAGGGAGCCCAGTGTGGTCACAGTGGCTGTGACTTCCAACCTCTCCCCTATTTCTTTCTGCTATACCTCTGTGATTCTCTTCCAAAGAGTCAGTATTGTTTATGTACCTGCCCCTCAGTTTCTCCTTTCCTGATGAGTTTACCATGGCTCCTGGCCTCTGCCTTGTGCTGTGCAGCTGATGTCCTGGAAAAGTGATGCCACAGCATGTCAAAGAAGAGACAGGAAGTAGGACAGAGAGAGAGATAGAGATAGAGACACACAGAGAGAGATCACACACACACAGACACACACAGACACACACAGACATACACAGACACACACAGACACACATACACACACACCAGCCCACCTTGGTATGTTTCAAATGAAGAATTTTGTAAGGTATCTTAGGATGAAATACTTGACTGTCTTAAAGCCCAGTTTGAAAGTTACTTTGCAGGGCGGGCGCTGTGGCTCACTTTGTTAATCCTCCGTCTGCGGTGCCAGCATCCCATATGGGCACTAGGTTCTAGTCCTGGTTGCTCCTCTTCCAGTCCAGCTCTCTGCTGTGGCCTGGGAGGGCAGTGGAGGATGGCCCAAGTGCTTGGGTCCCTGCATCCACATGGGAGACCAGGAGGAAGTACCTGGCTCCTGGTTTTGGATTGGTACAGCGCCAATCATGGTGGCCATTTGGAGGGTAAACCAACGGAAGGAAGACCTTTCTCTCTGTCTCTCTCTCACTGTCTATAACTCTACCTGTCAAATAAAAAAAATTTAAAAAGAAAAGTTACTTTGCTGCTGTGGCCCAGGAAGGCAGTGGAGGATGGCCCAAGTACTTGGGCCCCTGCACCCACAAGGGAGACCAGGTAGAAGCACCTGGCTCCTGGTTTCGGATCGGCACAGCACCGACTGTAGCGGCCATTTGGGGAGTGAACCAATGGAAAGAAGACCTTTCTCTCTCTCTCTCTCTCACTGTCTATAACTCTATCTGTCAAATAAATAAAAAAAAGTTACTTTGCATTTGCATTGTCCAGAAATGAAAATGTCAGATGTAAAATACATAATTTTTCCATTACAAGATCATAAAGATTTTCGAACCAGTATTTCATGGAGTCCCACCCATTTATTTTAGAAAAGAGGAAAACAAGATGTGAAGAGGTTCAATAACTTGGCCAAGAGCATGTGAAAGTGCATGAGATCAAAGAGAGAACCCAAGGCTCTCCTTTCTCCTTCTAACACACCCTGCTGAGTCCAAATTCTAGGCAGGAGCAACTCAAACAGCTTTATAAATATTATTTTTTACTATAAATATTATTTATACAAGGAGCTGGATGAGTATGCTGTCTATTTTACATTCTGAGAAAATGAGCAACAGTGAATGGCCAGTGATGTGGCAGATGCCTAGTGTGGCTGTGGAAATGGAAGAATAGGAAGTAGAATTAAGGAGTCAAGTTCAAGCCTGTGATAATCAATGCTCCTTTCTAGGTGGTTCCTATACACAGCATCATTAAAGGTAACACTGAGTTTCTTTAATCTTTATTGCTGCCATAATATCAAATCACTGCCACCACCTCCAGGAAATGGTGACAGGTACCTGGATTCACCTTGGCTGTATATAGAAATTCAAGTGGAAGAAGCAATGTGATCTGAGCACAAATTCTTATTAAACATCAAGGTTCCTTTAGTCCCTGTGTCTTACTTATTTTATTTAATTACAAACTGTCCTTTCAGTTGTTTTAAAAAAGTACCATGTGAAGGGCTCTTAAATGGCCCAATTAAGCAATATTGCACATTAATATCTGAAGCTGGAGCAAAATTATTAGAAAACTATCTTTAGTTACTCTAGAATGAAAAGAATCTTTCTTTTAAAAAATCATGCTCATAAGGAAGAGGAGATTGGATTTCTTAATAAAATGCTTTCAATAGAAATTGTATCATTAAGGCAATGAATTTCTTGAAATATTGTTGCTCTTGGCAACAGGAGTATTAATATATCCTAGGATGCAGTAGACAAAAGACAGCATTATCAGCTCAGATAATGATTGAATAGCTTTCATTTTCTTATGACATTGGTTGCTTGGTTTACTGAAAATAGGACCTTTAATAATAGTCCAAGGTTTGATACACAAAATCGGGAAGTAAATATCGACATCTGTACACATTTTTTGCCTGTTTTCATGGGACGAGTTAACACACAAAACAACTGCAGTGATCTCGTTACTCCACAAAGACAGCAAAATTAGGACATTCTGCAAAAGTGGCAGTATGGTTTTCATCTTCCCCTATTTTGAATTTCTTGATTTCTTTTCAGACTTAAAAATATCCTTTCCATAGATAACAGAGAAAGGCACGAGCTGAAGCACAGAGCCCTGCAGGGACACTCAGTGGCCCTGGTTTCAGATCCAGAATGTCCTTCGCAAACATTGTCAGGCTGCTTCCTGAGAGTGGCCTGAGGATGACACAAGCTGGCTTTGGGGGTCCCAGAGACTAAACGTTCTGCTTTATGGGACGGCATTCCAGACTTTTCCTCCCAGTGGATCTTTCTGAAGTGTTAGGAAGATCCTGCTCCCACTCTCCACACCAAATAAAGGGACGCTCTTGGAACTGCAGGCTTCCGGAGTGGGGAAGGGCATCTTGACTAAAGCTCGACACCTTTCTGCCTCTTGCAGGGGGGGTCGTTTCTCCCTTGTCCTCAGCGTCCACTAAACCCTAAGCTGCTCTGAGAGGGCAGGGTAGTGTTTCCTCCCTGAATTGCAGAACGAAATGCAAAGATACCCATTCAATACCTAATGCTGCATGACAGAACATGAATAAAAGGGCATTTCCATTTTTCCCTTTGCAGTTTTTGCTGTCATTCATTTTCTCTCCAAACACTGCCAACTTGTATTAAGTGCCTGCCTTGCATCAGGCACTGAGAATCCAGCCCTAATTCCAACAGGCATGGAATGTGTTAACAGTTGGCAGCAGAATTCCTTGGAGGGAGAGCACTCCATTCATCCGGGAAACTTTTCTCATGGTATCTGGAACCAGAAGGTGAGCTCCTCTAGGGATCTGGCTGTCGATGGGCTGTTCAGGGTGAGCAGGGGAAGGGAGGATTTTCCAGCTACTCCAGCATGGGGGCTGTGAGAGGGAGGAAGAGAGAAAGGGAGGAGAGAGGAGAAGATCTAGGAAAAAGACGGAAGGCTGTGCTGTCTCTCCCCATGAGCCCTCGATTCCTCCAAAAAAGACAGTAACTCACAGACTTGGATCCTTCTCCATGCGACAGCTACACGGCTTACATGCACAAATCCCTTATTCGAGGCAGGTGCTATTATTGTCCCCTCTTTATAGATAAGGAAAGGGAGACCCAGAGAGACTGAGTGTTGTAGCCAGCAGTTTCTGTTATTAAGTATTGATGGAGGCCGGCGCCGCGGCTCACTAGGCTAATCCTCTGCCTGCGGCGCCGGCACACCGGGTTCTAGTCCCGTTCGGGGTCGGGGCGCCGGATTCTGTCCCGGTTGCCCCTCTTCCAGGCCAGCTCTCTGCTGTGGCCCGGGAGTGCAGTGGAGGATGGCCCAAGTGCTTGGGCCCTGCACCCCATGGGAGACCAGGAGAAGCACCTGGCTCCTGGCTTCGGATCAGCGCGGTGCGTCGGCAGCCGCAGCGGCCATTGAGGGGGTGATCCAACGGAAAAGGAAGACCTTTCTCTCTGTCTCTCTCTCTCACTGTCCACTCTGCCTGTCAAAAAAAAAAAAAAAAAAAGTATTGATGGAGGGCTCCGTTGAGGATGAGGCACTGCAGATAGAGTCCAAAGGTGCAGGGGCTCAGGGAGTCTGAGAAAAGGCTTGGAGGCAAGCGAACACCCACTCTGCTCTGGAAGCAAAGAAGACCTGCTGGTCTCATCCTGAGATGAGGCCCAGGGGATGTGGCCAGCGGGCAAAGAAAGGCCTCTGTGTCATCTCCTGTGAGGTTCATCCTGGGAATGCAGGAAGCAAACACCGTCTGTCCTCTGAAGTCTTGTTCTTTACAGGAAAGAGATCTCCCATATTCATCTACCTGACTATGGGATCAAAACTGTGACAAGTGCCATGAAGGAGCTAAAGGATCCAATGCAGTGGCCTCATCCAGTCTGAGATGGGATCTGAGAAAGCCTCTGTGAGGCAATCTCATTTACACAGTGGCACAAAGAGCTTGTGGCCAGTGAAGGACGGTGCTGTGGAGCTGGGAGAGAAGAGGCTGACAAATGGGAACAGGTGTTCTAAGAACCTGGAAGAGCAGGTGCCAACGGCAAGAGGCAGGAAGGTACTTGGGGCATTTCAGGAACCAGAAGTAGGTGATGTGGGTGATGCTGGGAGCAGGGGAGGACCAGGGTGGCCGAGGACTTGGGGTTTTCTGCCAGGGTGAGGACGCTGGCGCTTTGCCTTCAGGACAGCCAGGGAAGGTTTTGGATTTTTCGTTTGTTTGTTTGGCATCAGGGAGGCAGGAAGCTGAGAGCTGCATTCTTTAAGGATCTCCATGGCAGCAACAGGATTCACGACAGACAGGAGAGGCCGGGGATGGGAGGTGACAAGGCCTCCAAGAAGTGCAGTGAGAACAGAGGAGGTCTGGATTCCCAGCGTGCGCCTGAGGAACGATGGATGTGGGGCAACAGGGCCAGAACACTGCTTCCTGGTTCTCCGGGAAAGGTCAAAGCCATTCTCACAGTGGAGAGGTGGGTGCTGGGGGCAACTGAGATTCTACAAAGAGAGCGAGAAGGTTCAGAGGGAAGGGAGGGACAGAGGGGCAGAAGCTGGAGGCTTTAATTCACAGAGCAGAGGCCACTGACCTGCTTGTTTCTTGGGTGAGTCACTGACATTCACAAGCCAGGCAATTTCACCTACAAAGGCAGGAATATGTTTTCTTTCTGGGGAGTGGAGGGCCCAGCAACACCGGCGGCTTCTTAAAGGCAGTAGCCACCTGGAGCTGTGTAGTGGCTGCCTGCTGTATGAGAGGCATAGCATTCATTGCCAGGTTAGCGTAGCCCCTGCTAGTCTCCCTTCACTCACAAGGCCTGTGAGAGAGAACAGGCTTGTTTCAAGGTGAGGGCAGGGCCCGGCTTTCAGGGATCTGGGAAGTGGAAGGGAGCCAACAGAAGCTAAAGATTTAAATAGATTCCTCTGTTCATTTGCTCAGCAGTGTAGGAAGGAAAAAGTGGACACCCACCCAACACTCCTGTGACTGAGCCCAGTGCACAAGGCCAAGGACTTGAAGAGAATGAGGATATGGCTCCTGCCTCCAGGTGTTTATCAGCACAGCTGCATCACTGCAGGACAGGCATCCGGAGAAATGCCACCAGTGAGCCACCACGTGCCAGGCGTTGAACAGAAAGGGGAGCTTAACTCAGCCCCTCTACTCCTCTGTATCAGCAAATTCAAGGTACATAGCACTTGGCCATAAGTGGTTAGAGTTTTTTTATTTTAACAGTATGCTTTAAATAAAATATTAATTTAAGAAGCATGGGAATTATGGTATTTTTCAGTGTAGCAGCAGTCTTGTTTACATAGTCTTACATGGCTCTCAATAGTCCACCTTTCGTACAACATATGCCAATTCTTTGTACATATCACCGGAAGGCTGGACAGGGGAGTTTTCATCAGTTATCTGTGCTCTGCGGCCAGAAAGACTGTGACCTTGCTTTTCTAAAATTCTGCCTGTCTTTGAAGCTATTCTTAGGTGGTTTCAAATAGTGGTTTAGAATCTGAAGTGCTTAGCCTTTTTCTTTATAGCCCAGAGCTTATGGTCTTTGCCCCTTGAGGCTGTAATTCAGAAGAAAGGTCAGGACTGAGACCAAGACTTGAGAGTTAACCATACAGAAATGAAAGCTGAAGCCACATGGGACCAATCAGTGGACCGAGGGTCAGAGAGAGTCAAGAGAACAAAAGGAGGTCAAGGACAGAGCAGTGAGTACTGCCTGTGGTAGGGGCATGATCACCCTGCCTAGGGGCTCAGACAAGCTTCCAGGTACTGTGGTTGGGATGGGAGCAGTGACCCAATGGAAGGGGATGCTTTTTCCAGGCAGCATAGGAGACATTTGCATGAATTAGGGGTCCTGGAGGAACTGTAACATTTAATATCTGCACACTGTACTTGTATGAGTTCCTTTCAATTTATTGTCTATTATGGTTACATGGATTTTATATCTACCTGTTAACTTACAGGTGCAATGACAGGAAGAAAAATAGAAACTATAAAGGACACATCTGTAGTCCTGATCTATTTTATTTTGTGCCTTTATTTTCACACCAGAAAGCCTGAAGTTCTGAGGACAAGGTTGTCCTTAAGTTCTGACAGCAGTTTATTGAGCTTAGGCCATGAATACAAGGCCCAGACACTTGGCAGGTTATCATGGTATACTGCCGCCCAAAGGACACAGAGACTCACCTGCTGCAGCCTCTTTGTTTGGAAATAACTTGTTGTCAACTGCCATGCTGATGTCATAGAATACTGCATCCTCATCTCGGTCAGCATCAAACTGGGGAGAAATCAGGACAGACAAGTTTGCAACAGGAGAATACATACATTAGATAACTACAAAATCGAATGAGCATACATCACACAACTGTGTCTGTAATAAAGCAAAACAAGAGGAATGAAAGCATTTGTGATTTTTTTAAAAGATTTTATTTATTTATTTGACAGGTTGAGTTACAGATAGTGAGAGAGAGACAGAGGGAAAGGTTTTCCTTCTGTTGGTTCACTCCCCAAATGGCCGCCACAGCACTGATCTGAAGCCAGGAGCCAGGTGCTTCCCCCTAGTCTCCCATGCGGGTGCAGGGGCCCAAGCACTTGGGCCATCCTCCACTGCACTCCCGGGCCACAGCAGAGAGCTGGACTGGAAGAGGAGCAACCGGAACTAGAACCCGGCGCCCATATGAGATGCGGGCGCGGCAGGCAGAGGATTAACCAAGTGAGCCACGGCACCGGCCCAAGCATTTGTGGTTGTAATCAGACATTAAGAAGGTTTTTAAGAAGATTATGAGGGGGTGAATGTACAGAAAAATGTGCAGCATTTTCTTAATTTAGAAAACACACTCTGAATCTGGCCTCAGCATCAGCCCTTAAGGCATTCGGATCTGGCTAAAAAGCCCATGAGAGTTTCACAGGCATGGGAAGCCAAGACATTTTGGCAAGAAAAATGACCTAAATGAAAGATCTCTGTGAGTGAGATCCCAGTGGAAAGAATGGGCCATCAAAGAAGGAGGTACCTTTCTCTGAAGGAAGGAGAGAACTTCTACTTTGACTATGGCCTTGTCTAAATAAGATCAGAGTTGGCGAACTCAAGAGGCTTCCATAGCCTTGGCAGCTTATGACAAGAGCCTTGGGTGATTACTGACGTCATAAATAAGAGTGTCAATTGGAGTCACTGTGCACCTCCTCCCCATGTAGGATCTCTGTCTTTAACATGTTGTACTATGCGAATTAATGGTAAAACTACTACTCAAACAGTACTTCATACTTTGTGTGTCTGTGTGGGTGCAGTCTGTTGAAATCTTTACTTAGTATATACTAAATTGATCTTCTGTATATAAAGATATTTGAAAATGAATCTTGATGAAGAATGGGATGGGAGAGGGTGGGAGATGGGATGGTTGCGGGTGGGATGGAGGTTATGGGGGGAAAAGCCGCTATAATCCAAAAGTTGTTTATATTTATTAAAAAATTAGAAAATGTTCACAGTCTTTTGAATTAAATGAAAAATAAAGCAGGGTATGAGAGTAAAAAAAGTTTATGGAAAAGTTATGATGAGCTTTTCGATCTGCCATCTGTGCGCAGGTGGGCCCGCCACCAGGATGCAGATCTTCATGAAAACCCTTATGGGGAAGACCATCATGCTCAAGGTTGAACCCTCGGATACAATAGAAAATGTAAAAGCAAAAATCCAGGATAAGGAAGGAATTCCTCCTGATCAGCAAAGACTGATTTTTGCTGGCAAGCAACTGGAAGATGGACGGACTTTATCTGACTACAACATTCAAAAGGAGTCTACTCCTCACCTTGTGTTGAGATTTCGTGGGGGTGCCAAGAAAAGGAAGAAGAAGTCTTATACCACTCCCAAGAAGAATAAGCATAAGAGAAAGAAGGTTAAGCTGGCTGTCCTGAAGTACTATAAGGTGGATGAGAACAGCAAGATCAGTCGGCTGCGTCGCGAGTGCCCTTCAGATGAATGTGGTGCTTGCGTGTTCATGGCCAGCCACTTCGACAGACATTACTGTGGCAAATGCTGTCTGACTTACTGCTTCAACAAACCAGAAGACAAGTAACTGTATATGAGGAGTTAATAAAAGACGTTAACATAAAAAAAGAAAAGTTATGATGAAAGATAAATTCGTTTTGGTACAAAATATGAAATCCATGTATTTTTTTTTACTAATGCACATTTTCCATGAATTTCTTGAAGACTTCCTTCCTAAAACCTGTCCATGCGATGCAGCAGAGTCACTCTGGACTTATTCTGGCTCTGAGAAATGCACAATTTGCAAGTAATTTCTTGCTCAATTAAACTCTATTGAATATTAAAAAAAAGGAAAGCACACTCTGGGAAACACAACTGAAATTTAGTTTGCAGTTTCCTGACTTAGTTTTTCTAATTAAATGGAAAAAAAAAATCCAAAGGGACTGGAGTTTAACCTAGCAGTGATGATGCCTGTGTCCCATGAGTACCTGGGTTTGATGCCTGGCTCTGGCTCCTGACTACAGCTTACTGCCAATGCAGACCCAGGAGGCAGCAGTGAGGGCACAAGTAACAGGGTCCCTGTCACACCCCTGGGAGACATGGACTGCATTCCTGTCACCTTGTTTCACCTGGCCCACCCCTAGCTGTTGTGCGCATTTGAAAAGTGAACCAGTGCACAGGAGCTTTCTCTCTCTCTTTCAAATAAATAAATAAAATTATAAAAGGAACCATGAAAATACAAAGTCTAAACAATATGGGGAAGAGATTTTTTAATTTGCTGCTAAGAAAATAAAAGAGAGCGCCCTCACCAAAGTTCAATTGCTGGAAACTGAGACACTATGAGGATAATTAAGGAAGTTCAAGGAAAAGCAGGATTAAATGTAGGAATGAATTTTGGTGCAACAATTCATGCATGATTTTTTCATCATGCACATTTTTCACATAACAAGAACAAACTTTTGCACCAAAATTCTTCATGCTTTTAATTGTATTTTCCATGCACTTTTTGAAGTACCTGCATATATTATAGATGTAGTCTGTGGACATTGTAGATTTAGGCACAACAAAAGTTACAGATTCATTTCTTAGTTTATTTTTATATAATTTATTTATTTAGTGGTGGGAGCAGGTGAGAGGTTCCCATCCATTCACTCCCCCAAATGAAAACTGGGGTGGGGGTGAGGAAGCCAGAGCCTATAAAACAATCCAGGCCTTTCATGTAGGTGGCAAGGACCAAACTACTTGAGTCATCATCATTGCCACACAGAATCTGCACCACCAGAAAGCTGGGGCCAGGAGCCAGACCCTCCAATGCACAATTCTGTCATACCAACCAGCATCTTAACTGCCAGGCCAAATGCCCATTCCTACAGGTTTAAATATTTACTTTACTATTCTCTAAAACTTAAAAAACTTCAAATATTTAAAAATAACATGTGGTTATATTTATTATTTTTTATTTCCCAAAGTGTTCAATGTTTCTTTTGTTTCTTTAGGTTTTAAATAGCTTTTCTGAGTTACAATAATAGTACTATATTGCATGTATTTAAAGTATATAAATTATAAGTTCTGACATACGTATATACAAGTGAAGCCATCATAAAATCAAAATAGTGAAATATCCCTCCTACCCCAACTTCCTCAGCTCCTTTGGAATCCCTTTCCTTCCTATCCTAAATAACCACTGATTTACTTTCTGTAACTACAGATTATTTTGCATTTTCCAGAACTGTTTTTAAGATTTATTTATTTATTTATTTGAAAGGCAGCGTTACACAGAGGCAGAGGCAGAGAAAGAGAGAGAGAGGTCTTCAACCCGCCGGTTCACTCCCCATGTGGCTGCTGGAGCTGTGCCAATCCAAAGCCAGGAGCCAGGAGTTTCTTCTGGGTCTCCCATGTGGGTGCCAGGGCCCAAGGACTTGGGCCATCCTCTACTGCTTTCCCAGGCCATAGCAGAGAACTGGATCAGAAATGGAGCAGCACTGGAACTGTTGCCCATATGGGATGCCAGTACTGCAGGTGGTAGTTTTACCTGTTACACCACAGCATCGGCCCTATGCAAGACATTCTTGTAAATGACAGTCTATCCCCTTTAGGGAAAGGACTGAGGACCCCAAGGAGTTATGCAGTCTTTTTTGACATTAACTTAAAGAAAAATGGTTGCTTTAGAAAGATTTTGTTTTGATTTGGAAACAAAACAGAAGGAGCTAAATCAGGACTGTGATGTGGATGCCTAATGATTTCCCATAAAAAAAATCTTGAAAATTGCCCTTGTTTGATGAGAGGAATGAGCAGCAGAATTATTTTGGTGAAGAAGGATTATTACCTGGTAATCTTGAGTGTTGTTTGTTCAAGATTTGGCAAACTTTCTCAAAACACTCTCATAATGGATAATGTTATTCTTTGGACCTCCAAATATCAACAAACAAAATGTCTTGCACATCTCCCAAAACAGTGGCCATCATCTTTGCTCTTTACTGATCTGCTTTTGCTTTGACTGGACCACTCTCACCTCTTGGAAGCCATTGCTTTGTTCATGCTTTCTCGTTAGGATCACACTGGTAAAGCCATGTTTCAGTTCCTGTTTCCAGTTCTTTGAAGATATGCTTCAGGTTCTGGATCTCACTTGCTTAAAATTTCTAAGAAAGTTCTGCTCTTGTTTGCAGTTGATCTGGGCACAACAGTTTTGGTACCCATCAAGTAGAAAGTTTAATTTGTCAATCACCATTGTTGAAACTCAACCAATTGTGATATCTATTGTTCTGCTTATTGTTTCTGTTGTTAATCATCAGTCCTCCTCAATTACTGCATACAGGAGATGAATTTTTTCCTTGCAAATTGATGTGGTGGGTCTGCGGTTGTAGGTTTCATCTATAATATCTTGTCCCTTAGAAATGAGCTATCCACTTGTAAACTGAGAATTTCCCTGGGGCACTGTCCCCATAAACTTTTCATAAAGCATCAATGATTTCCCTGTTGCTCCACTGAAGTCTTACCACAATCTGATGTTTGCTCTTACTTCAGTTTTAGCAAAATTCATGTTGCTCTTAAAGGGGCCCTTTTCAAATTGATGTCTTATCTTTCTTTGTTCCTAAAACTACATCCTCTTCAGACATGTTATAACAACTTCTACATGTTTATTTTGGTACAAAAGAAATTGAAATATGTGCATAGTTTTTAAAATTTATTTATTTGAGAGGCAGAGCTACAAATAGAGAGAGAGAGAGAGAGAGAGAGAGAGAGAGAAAGAGAAGGGTCTTCCATCTGATGGTTCACTCCCCAAATGACTGCAATGGCCAGAACTGGGCTGATCCAAAGCCAGGAGCCAGGAGTTTCTTCT